GTAGCAGGCCCTTTAAACTGCATATGAGTACATGAGATTGGCAGACTATGTCCTCACTACACTCACTAGTCTGTTGAAGGAGGCATATGAAGTACAACGGATCAAGTCACGTATTCTTACTTTTCGAGAAACATTTCAACTTCGTATAATACTAGAGTACAACATTGTGTTCAGATAATTAAAACCATTCCACCGTGTTACTAAATTTACTTTGCCTGTGGACAGTAGTCCATACTATCTCCTGAGGTTAACATATCCTAGGCTCGCTGGTAGCATTGAAATTTGTACACAGTAACCCACGCCCGCTTTCGTATTTCATTAGGCAGGTTTTGTCTGCAGACACTTTTTGTACTTTATGAGACCCATCCATATTTCCTCTCCGCCTACACCACCCCTGGACGACGAACGACTTAAATGAGGTTCCGTTTGCATCAACGGCATCCAAGCAGGCGCCGCATTTTTAGGGATCAGTGGTTGTCTAGGACAGAAATTTTTAGGTTAACAGACGAGCCTTTCGCTACTTGAGTTTTTCCACGGCTTCTATTAACCATTGGGTAGATATTAAGTCGGCCTAATCCTATTGGCGGACCAGAGCAACCACGCGCGATCGATAGTGCAATGTTCAAAATAACTTTCTGCTTCGACAGACCCGAAAATGAATGTGCGCTTTGCGGAATATCTCACGGAGTCCAGAGAAAAGGAACTCCGTGACATTGCAAATGCAATATGTCATCCAGGGAAAGGCATCCTTGCTGCAGACGAAAGCGTTTGTAACTACTATCGTCTAGTTTTTGGTAAACTGCCTGCATTTAGCCACAATTGGAAAGCGTTTCAAGAGCATAAACCTAGAGAATACAGAAGAAAATCGCCGCCGTTATCGAGAACTGCTGTTTTCTACCGACCCTTCTGTCGCAAACTATATTTCAGGGGTTATCCTCTTCCATGACACGGTATTTCAGAAGACCTCCGATAAAAAGCCGATGTTGAGCCTCTTGAAGGTAACTGTCTAGCTGTTATTTTTCATCTATCGTGTTTGTGAGCTGTAATTTACAGCTAATATCATATCCTAAGAGATAACGACATTTTAAAATTGGATTTGGAAAAAAGCACATTAACGCAAACGAGGAATATCTAGAATAAACTGATAGTGGTGGGTTAATAAGTGTTGGTCGCGCTCGTCAGACCCTAAGTCTTAACTAACCAGAAATGCGAGATGGGAGTCTGATGGTCATCAATTTCATGAAAGTTTCACCCAATCCCTGAAGTAGAATCTAGACTTCCTGACTATCAACTGCACGTTCCGAACGCCTGAGTTCAACGACTTAGCTTATTTATTTTCTCAAAGGTTAAACGGAATAGAAAATTTCTTCGTTCTCAGTTTAAATTAGTACGACTAACGATCTAACTTTAAAAAACCCATTCCTTCCACAGGCTCGGGGAATTATCCCTGGTATCAAAGTGGACACCGGAGTGGTGCCTCTTGCCGGCACCTTTGGTGAAGGTACAACTCAGGGTTTAGACAATTTGGCCGAAAGATGTGCCACATACAAAAAGGAGGGCTGTGATTTTGCCAAATGGCGCTGTGTGCTGAAGATATCTGACCGAACACCGTCATATCAAGCTATGATGGAGAACGCAAACGTACTGGCACGATATGCTGTCATTTGCCAGCAGGTATCACCAAATTCTTCAGATGCATTTACTGCAACTCATATCCCAACCCGGTTCCTCAGCTCGAATTGAATTTTCTTACAGCATGGAATTGTGCCGATTGTGGAGCCCGAGGTCCTACCTGACGGAAAGCATGATCTTTATGTGGCTCAGCGAGTTACTGAGGAGGTTCTCTCATTCCAATACAAAGCTCTCGCTGATCACCACGTTTACCTTGAGGGCACTTTGCTGAAGCCAAACATGGTCACTGCCGGACACTCCTGTCCACAGAAGTACAGCATTGAACAAAATGCTGTTGCTACAGTTCAGGCCCTCCAGCGCACAGTTCCTGCAGCCGTACCAGGTAACTAGTCATACATTTAGAAAGAGGATGACAGTTTTGTTAATAAAAGTAGATCAAAATAGTTGGGCAAGTGAGGACGTGAAGGTGATCAGTAACAAATTGTCTGCCGTAAGCCGCGGAAAAAGCATCCCTGGCAGTCATTGTTTTATGCTACTTTTAATAAAAAAAACCATAAAAGTGCCTTGCAGCCTATTTATGACAAGGTGTAAGAACTTAGCTTGATCTCTTAAAAACTCGCCCAATAACGACAGAATAACAGAATTTATCCTGAGAGGGCCAGGGTCACGTGAACAACTAAATGTCACTAAGCCGTTGGTCCGCTGTTTGTTGAGATCCCATCCTGTTTCCCCTTGCTGTGTTTCAGTTTACTGGCTCTGACTGCGTCTTTTATACTATGGATTAGACGTCAGCCTTACGTATCTAACTCGTCTTACAGTGACATCCTGGTTAGTTATCTGTCTGTCATTACCAGCCCTTAAAACCTCCACCTCCGAACAGGGCTCAAGACTTGAACCGGAATCCCAGGATCTCCGAAAACTTAAATTAAACGTTCTTCCTTATGAGCGCAAAGCCTACATCCCTTTAACTGGGATCATTTGACTCGGAGTACTGGGAGATCAACAGACGCGGATTCAAATCTCAGGGACCTGAACTAACAAACGGCGACCAAAAGCCCAGTCTACTTATAGAACTCACGATTACCGATCCCTAGTAGGGCGAGTAAATCAAAACAGGAATACTCATTTCTGTCCTGTAACTGAATAAAAAAAACTTTATTTTCAGGAGTGGTGTTCCTATCAGGTGGACAGTCCGAGGTTGATGCCACGCGAAATCTCAATGCAATCAACCAAGTGAATGCTAAAAAACCATGGGCCCTAACATTCAGCTTCGGAAGAGCTCTTCAGGCCTCGGTCATCCAAGTTTGGCAAGGGAAGGACTCCAATATTCCTGCTGCACAAGCCGAACTTATCAAGCTTGCTAAGGTAAAATAATAACAAAATTAGATCTTTCTCTTCAGTGATACATATGCGTTTTAAGACAAAGCGCGTTGACATTCAAAAGTCAAACAGCCGACCGTTTCACCGCTTTTTCAAATTCCTTTTAGGCTAACGGAGAGGCCTCGCTAGGCAAGTTTGACGGAAAGTTGGAGGTTGCTTCCGGAGGCAAATCGCTTTTCGTGGCTAACCATGCCTACTAGGGAGTAGCGATCCACTCGCTGAATGACTGCTGTGTCAACTTTTTTAAGTAGACTATGTCTTTCTTCAGCAATAAATTTTTAGTAGGCATTCGAGCCGAAAGCACATTTTGTTCTTTCATTTGCACGTCAAGGGGCAAACAGTGTGGACGGCAAGTCTTCAGAAGCCTTTGGCAGGCAAAGTCAGTGGAATTCAGAACACTAACGGATTCCAGATTTAGATTAAAACCAGGACCAGCCTCAGCCGGTGCACCGGTTCTACGTATACTGTAAAACATAAGAATAAACAAAGGATTTTACGCCTACTAAAGGGGTAGCTGGGTAGCCAGCTCATGAATGTCCTGTAGATAAATCTCTCACTATGTAAGGAAAGGGAAGTTTTAACAACAACAACAACCTCCAAAAGTAGACGATCTTACATCGAGAAATCAACGGAATATGTCCGGCAAATGTCAGACCAGGCCGCTGCAATCCAAATCGCATACTAAATCGCCTGTCGACAGGAAGTGCACAACAGTTTGAAGTAGTTTGTCCCGACGACTGCCGCAAGATCACGCGCTACCTTCTGACCACAGTAAAAAGCCCAGCGTGTTAACTCGGACGGGGTAATGTTGAAAAAATAGGTAGTTTTCAACTATAACACTGTTGCCAAGGAAGTAGAAATAGAGGTAAAAATTAAAGAAGACTTATATGACTGTCATCTGTCTTTGTTTATTTATACTGTTGTGTGCGTTGTGGATGAAAACGTCTAAGAGCAGCCATGTGTTTAGTCGCAACGGCGGAAAACGCAAGCCAATTACTGAAGGAAGGAGTACCGATTTCTGGCCTCTAAGCCGTCGTTAATAAGCTATTATCCAACGTCAGACTAATCTATACTCCGCCTTGAATAATTACCATCCGCTTTACAACTGCCTTCGAGGACTTTGTTGTGATCTCGAAGGCGCAACGGTTAATCAACACTAAGATATGCTCTCCGAGTTCGTGAACAAAATAAGTCGCTTGCAAGAGGCTCGTGGACTGCACCTGGTCAGTGTACAGGATAAATGTTGTCGGTCTTCTTTATTCGGTTTCCCACAGTTCATGGGACGTAATTTGGTTGTGATCGGCGACTGTGGATCCTCTATAAGTCGCCACCATAACCCTGTGACATCCAATCATTATTTCGTGCACCGCTATCGTTGTGACTCCCTGAGATACAAGCAGTTACAAGTAAATGCCAAAAATCCGGCTGTCCGCGCGTTCACTTGCTGTACTGTCAAGTTAGATTTGGGTCTAGGCCTGGCACTCATACAAACGTGTCGTCAGCGTCGACATTTTCCCGATAACCTAGGAGCCATTTCTCGAACGAATTGTGGACTCTTGTTGATGTGAGCCGAGGACACTCTCTAATGGCATTGCTGATTGCTATTACCCTTCCATCCACAGACACTTCTCGCCTTTGACGAAACCCTCATTGCGAGACGTCAAAGTCGACGTCACAGTCGCTTAGCGCATAAAAACCAGGCGTCCTTCCAACTCACGTCGACCATACCACCTCGATCTCCACACAGAAAACCTTGCTAAGATAGAGTTAGAAGACTTCTTTGAGCTCCATAGCGACTTTATCCCGACAACTGTTGGGAGTTTTTCTCGCAACCTCTCCCTTAGTGATGGCTACCGAGCTCTGCATTCAGTGATCGTTCGTGTCTAGTATCTGGTTCCTCATGTAAAGAATACAATGCCGGCAGAATGGCATTACAGACAAAGACAAGACAACATGGTAATGCCATTCTGTCTATATATATCATGCGCCGCTGTGCGGTTGCTGGTTGGGCTCGAGAGAGAGCCTATAAGGCACAACAGAACGAGTGAGTTCCATAGGAACGATCGGTGAGACCCCCTACTAATAGAATGCTGTTGCAGGACAGAGACGTGTTCCCAATAAGCCCCCTGGTTCGCGCTTTCTGTAATATATCACCTAAACCCGAACACACGCGCGAAGCAGTCGTCAGCACCTCCTTTTGGTCGCATGAGATAGCTTGCATGCCCTTCGGCCAATAGTCAAACGAATGCCAAGTTGAGTGAGTCATCGAGAATTTTAAGTTAAATAATGCTGCTTATATCGCAGGTTCGCCTCCTGTCCGCCGAGCTGGACAGCGTATAGTTTCGCAAGCATGAAATTCACTGATCAATTCCGATTGCCACATGGAAATGGGTTCATAGGCCAAAAGCCGTCCCCTCAAGAACACTGATTCTTCATTACTAACCTTTGTCAATGATCGACTGCTCGTCCCTAAGCGACAATCCAACTGGACTGCTGAGTCAGTTCCCCCAAAGCTAGGCAGAAATGCATCTTTTACATCCTGAAATCAGTATAGATTGGTTAGTGTTACTCTTATGCCATAATATTCATGACGACAAGGCCGTCTTAAGGTCTTTTAACGTCCTCCTGGCTCACTCTAAAAAGACCCTTTTAATTACTCCGTAGGCTCCGTCGTTGTCTAGTGACACCAAAGAAAATCTTGTGACAGCAGCTCTCCTCTCCCCTTTATGCTTAGATTCGCAGCGTACACGGGGAGGAGATGCCTTAACCACCGTCGTCAGCGAAATGCCCAAGAAGATTGTACGCGTTCTTGTTCAACCTCTGTAAAGCTTAGTACAGCAGACAGCGGCTTCATTATCTTCGGACAAGGGACTTTTCGCTATTTTCTTGAGTATTTGTCATTCGGCACCCTATGGAAAATTGCATGTTTCTTGCTCTTGGCGACCACAAACCGCGGGTTTAGCCTTCAAAGGAACGTTGATCGTCACTCTCCATGTGAAATACGACGCCTCTGTTTAATTTTGCACTCTTCCTGTCATATTCAAAATGTCGTTGCGGTACGGAAACACGGCCGCCGATATCTGATCGTGCGTTGAAATGGATGCTGTCTTGCCGATTTAAAATTTAAGTTCGAATATGTAACACTGAGTCAGTTCTGGCTTCCCTTGTCATTCGTGAAATATTCACTGTTCCACCATCAACGTCAGCTTGACTGCAAAATGTGTGATCTTGGGTCTAATGACCTCTTAGTTCACTTGGTGAAATGAATATTACTGTTTCTTTCTATGTTGTGCTTCTTTGCTGGATTTGTAAACGTATCAATCCTCCTTTATATTGAATTTCGGTTATTTTCGACAAAAGTGTGATGCTTGCTTAATATAGTTAAGGACAATTAGCAACTCCTAGTAGGAGACACAGTGAGGTTCTTTACTGCAAGCGTTTTCGCTGTTTGCAGAAGGAGGGCGCTTTAAGAAATTCTTAAAATTCAAATGACAATGTAATTTTTTACGTGGTCAAGTGAGGCTCACTTTTATAACGGACAGATTGTATAATTGGAGGATTAGTTAAACTCAAGCCCTAAACCTAAACAATTTGGAGAAAGACCAACTTATAACCCTTTGGCATTTAAAACTATTCATTTTAGGATATAGAAGCTTAGCATGTATGAAAATAAATTTTTACCAAATATATTTATCCGTGGAGGCATATAACGGAGCCATTGGGTAAAAGGCAGTATACCCTTCAATGTTTCCTTTAATAAACAGTCTCAACCAAAGTGTTTCTCTTCAAAATGATTTTTAATACCAACTTTTCAGGGGATAGCGCATATATCCCCAAAAGCGTCCCATGCAAAAAATAAATCACAGCTGATTACGGAGTTCGCTAACACA